CCGGGCCCCGATGGGTAATGACTTAGTTTCCTTACGTTGTGATATTTAGAAAGTAATTGTGATTTTTAGGAAAGAATTTTTTCCCATGTTAACAGATTGACTGGTTCTTAAAAAGGTGATCAATTATTTCCCATTTTACAGATCGAGTGATTTTTTGCATGTGTGATTTTTAGAAAATAATTCTTTCCCAAGTAACAGATTGACTGATTCTCAAAAAGAGAAACAACTATAACAGATAGATTAATTCCGGCCTTGCCGCACGCGCGTGGTCTTCTCATCTTTCTACTTCTTCTCTAGAATGAAACAGTCATGCTAATACCAAGGTCGCCTGCGTTGTCTACTTGTGATTTTCGGAGATTCCATTAACCTCCTCTTCAACGAAAACCTCTGTTTTTAGTCCTGTCAGATTGTTCGGTTCGTGAAGTTAATTCTTGTACATATCTCTCTCACACTCTAATTTCTTGTATTGTTTGGGAATAGAAAATGGAAACTCGGATTTCTCTTCGTGATTCGTAAGCAGAAGCAAAAGCTTGCAATTTTGAATTTTCTAGCCATCCAGGTACATCGCTCCATGACTCTTTCTTAGCATTTATATATTATTTAATTAGTAGTGTTCTTAATTTCTTGTATTGTAGATTTTATTTGGATAATATCATCTAACAACGTGAAAAAAGAGAACATGCAAATGAGTTTATTGAGTCCCAGGAAAGTACATGTACTAATTCCCCGCAAATAAAGAAAGTACCTCTGCTAGGGATTTCGAGGAATTAGCTTTAGTTAGTTATTGCTGAATAACAACCTAGCGAAAAATTATAGGATGATAAAATTTTGAGTTGGCACCGAAGGGAAAAACATAGGTATTGATTGGCAAGACCAGCCAAATTTTATGTGAATGATTATGGCCCCGGTTTTTCTGAATAGTCGACATGATAAGGCAACATAAATTCTAGTGTAATAAGTATTCATTTGCATTTGAAATAGAAGAAATATATGTGGGTTTAGGGCCCCTTTTTGTTATCTTGCCCCGGGCCCTCGAAATCTTAGGACCGGGTCTGGATGTTCGGCGAGCCGTCGGTGAGAGTGGGTGTGGCATGTGGCATTGTTTGGATGGGCTTTGTATTGGGTTTCGTTTGATTTTTCGTAGTTAACTAGGCAACAACCTTGTTATGAGATGGGCAAAGTTTTTGCCTCGTGTTTTGGAAAAGAAAAAAACTTTGGTGCTGTGATTTTAAGCAAAGTGATGTGCTATAATAATTTAGTTAATTGAATCCCTCAAGGAAAAATAGTCAAACTGCTGAATAGAATAGTGTAAATCTGGTAGCACGTGGGCCCACTGAACTCCTGGATGCAAAAGGAAAAGAGCACGTGCCGACAAAGAGGTGGAAGAGAGCCGGAACAGACATGTCAAAGCAATGATCGATCTCGTTTTCATTAGTAGTAGTACGTGGTTTGCACAAATCATGCGCACAAAAATTAAGCCAGCTAGCTATGGCAAACGAAAAGGGAAAAAGATGGCAAGAAAACCAAGCGGAGAAGGTTCCCGTGAAAGAAAAGTAAAGAAAACAGAGTACAGGAGTACACAGGACAGCCGGCGCCGCTTCTCCTCTCCCTCGCACGCACGCATTCTTCACGTGCGCTGCGCGGCAAAAGGAAAGAAGAGACCGAACCGCCCCGTTGCCGTCGTGCGCGCACAACGTTTCATAAACAAGCGGGGCAGAGAGAGATTGAGAGGTGTGTGTGTGTGTGTATTGACGGGCCGGCCTTCCTTCTTCCAAGAACTTGAGGAGGAAAGATCGATAGACCTGGTACTACTTGAATATACACATTAATGGCGGCGGCGAGTAGCAGCGCGCGGGACACCGCGGAGGGGTGGCGAGATGGGGGAAGCGTCGACGACGGGGGAGCGGAGGTCGAACTGAGCCTGCGGCTTCGGACCGGGAGCAGCAGCGGCGGCGCGGCGAGGAGGAGCATGACCATATTCTACGATGGCCGGGTGTGCGCCGTCGAGAGTATTTAACCAAAAACTACCACAATTCGCGGAAACATGACAGAAAACTACCACTTTACGATTTTGTCTCGAAAACTATCACTTTTTTATTAATCCGTGGCAAAAAACTACCAAGTGTGAAAACTGCTCGCTTTGCCTGGGTTAAACCTGAATCTGACTGCCCGACCCCACACATAAGCGGGCTAAAAATGCAATCGGGTCCCTAGTTTTTCTTAAAAAAAGCAATCCAGTCCCTGCAACCCGGTCGCGCTCCACGCCGCCTTCGACGACGCGGACGCCGTGCACCTCGTCGTCGACCTCTGCGCCGGCGGGGACCTCCTCTCGCTCCTCTCCGCTCGTGGCGGCCGCCTCCCCGAGCGCGAGGCGGCGGGGCTGGCCGCGCAGCGTCCGCGCTCGCCGCGTGCCACCGCCGCGGGATCGCGCACCGCAACGTCAAGCCCGACAACTTCGACGCCGCCACCGGCGCGCTCAAGCTCGCCGACTTCGTTTCCGCGGAGTGGTTCGGGGACGGGCGGCCGATGACCGGGCTCGTCGGCACGCCGTACTACGTGGCGCCCGAGGTGGTGGCCGGGAGGGAGTACGGCGAGAAGGTGGACGTGTGGAGCGCCAGGGTGATGCTCCGCAAAGGAGCTCAGCGGCGACAGCGAGACGGCCGTCCTTCGCCGCTTGGGCACCGGTGGCCAGTCGCGGTACAGGGGAGACCCGTCGGTCTCCTCGTCGTCCTGGCGGTCCTCCCGCTCGAGCTTGGGCGCGAGGCGGTGCGGGACCGAGGGGGCCTGGCGGAGGAGCTTGGCGAGGCGGCGGAGGGAGCCGGAGAGCGGCGGCGGCGGCGAGGGCCTGGGGCGGTCGGCCCGGAGGGACTGGATTGCTTTTTTTAAGAAAAACTAGGGACCCGATTGCATTTTTAGCCCGCTTATGTGTGGGGTCGAGCAGTCAGATTCGGGTTTAACCCAGGCAAAGCGAGCAGTTTTCACACTTGGTAGTTTTTTGCCACGGATTAATAAAAAAGTGGTAGTTTTCGGGACAAAATCGTAAAGTGGTAGTTTTCTGTCACGTTTCTGCGAATTGTGGTAGTTTTTGTTAAATACTCGCGCCGTCGACGTCACCGAGCTCCAGGTAAGCTAACTGCCCCGCTCCTTAGCATCATTTTAATTTGCTCCATCCCTCCATGTATCTGTATGTTTCAACCCTAAGTACTTAATCATGCTCGTCTGGACTAGGTTGGTCATCACTGGCGATCATGCATGTGCTTAGCTCAGTCTTGGAAGTGACTAAAAGGCAAAACAATGTGGGAGTATGCATGATGGATCGAATGGATCCTTCACCACGAGTTGTTTTTGCAGTTTAATGTAAACGATGCCAACAAATAGAATGGGCGTACGTGTTAGAGTCAACTGAGACACCGTGCAGCCTAAATAGAACCAATAGCAAATTAACAAGGGAGCGCTTCTTCTTTAAGCCAGTCTTTAGGTTGTGATTCTCACAATCTTCTATCCTGCTATGCACGCATGACACGACGTGTGTGAACCTAGAAGATGAAGATGCCCCAGGTGAGACACCCAAATCAAATCCAAAGATCAAACATGGGCGTCTACCACCACATCACTTCTGGCTAATTATTATAATAGATCAAAGTTCTTTGTGAGGAAAAAAACATGGTAACAATATATGCATTATGCACGTGTTTATTTCAGCACGTGGATGAGCTGGACGGAAAATCCGGTACGGTACGGTTGAATTTTCAGAATAGTACTAGTAATATTTAATGACTTAAGTTTGGGTCAAAATTCTTGTGCTTATTTCGACACGTGATGTACCACATCCAGGAGACAGGCAAAACTAAGACGCAGCCACATTTAGTCTTGGTGGAGTAGTGGATGTGCAATTGACAAGCACGTTCAACTCCCCAAACGCAATCGTCTCTTAGTCAGACTTGTTTTTTTTTTGACAGCATCTCTTGGTCTGACTTAATTAAGCAATTAGTCAGAAAAGGGGCAAGTCTCCATACAAAATAGACAACCAGAATTAAACACGTGCTCGATCGCACCAAAAATCAAAATGATTATGAACAGAAATTTGTTTGAAATTTTCTAGTCATATTTCTTGTTTGAAATGTGTGCGCAGACGTGGCTGTGACAAAGTTCATTTGTTGATTGATTAATCGCAGGCAAGGGAAATCATAACCATGGCGAGCCAACAAATTCTAACCGAGCAGCAGGACAGCAGCGGCGGCGGCACTGCAGTGGCACAGTGCGGAGCGCATCAGAATCCAAGCCAGCCGGCGCCGCAACGTTGGGCTCCATTGTTGGCTTCACGCCCGCTTCGTCAGGGAGCAGGGGCTGCTGCGCCGGTCACCAGCCAAGCGGCCGCCGCGGGGCTGTCGATGAAGCGGTCGTTGCAGCAGTTTCTGCAGAAGCGGAAGACAAGGGTCGCCGCCATGGGTTCGCCGTACGCCGGCGGCCGGCGAGCGATGCCCTTCTAGTCCTAGTCCGGTGGTTAAAGACACATACGTACAGTGCTTGCTAGCATATGGTTATTTTTGTTCTTGAGACTTGTATTTTCAAGCATGAGATTGGAGTGTTCAAATGAAGTTTTCGTTTGTTCGAGTGTTCAACTAGTTAGTTTCTTGGAGATCAACCTGTTGGCGGCCGGTAGAGTAACTTGTTCGTTGGATAATTGCAAACTCACCTTGCACGTAATGTACTTAATTCAATTTTTCTTTTGCGAGGAATAATGTACCTATTTAATTCATTTATCATGTCTGATCGATCCATGCCATATCACAGCACTTTGGAAGTTGGAAACACACACACACACACACACACACGTCCCGTCCAAAATTAATTACACTACGTAGCATATCATGCATCCATGCAGTTACGTACGTAAGCCTTGGATCGATATACGGCCGCCGGCGACGTGCGCCGACTTGATTTGGTTCCAAGTTACAAGCGGGACGGCATGACGCCGAATTTGTCGGCCTCGGTGACGACGTGGTTGCGGGTGATGTCGGCCAGCGAGTTGCAGCCGCTGAGCGCCATGGTCAGCTCGAACTCGTCGCGCAGCATCTTGAGCACGTTGCTCACCCCGGCCTCCCCGGCCACCGCCAGCGAGAACACCACCGGCCTTCCGATCTGCACGCCATGCACACCTAATATCATGACTTGCTGAATTCGCTAGCTAGCTAGCCCAGGACAAGGGCATGCACTGCACTTACGAAGACACCGGCGGCGCCGAGAGCGAGCGCCTTGAAGACGTCGGTGCCGCGGCGCACACCGCCGTCCAGGAAGACGGGGATCTGCCCGCCAGCACCCTTCACGACCTCTTCTAGGGCGCTGATGGTCGCCGGGACGTAGTCCAGCTGCCGGGCGCCGTGGTTGGACACGATGATTCCGGCCGCGCCGTTCTCCACGGCGAGCCTGCTGTCCTCTGCGGTGATCACTCCTTTCACCAGGATCGGCATCGTGGTGATGGACTGCAGCCACTTCACATCCTGCACGACAAGGCCACATCTTCAGTTCAGAGCCACGGTAACTAGAACAAATTTCATACACGAATAGAGTTAGTTGTCAAGTTCAAGTAAGACTTTTTCTTCTTCTTGGTTTACCTTCCAGCTCAGTGTACGGTCGATTTGACCGGCGACATATGAAGCTAGTCCTGAATCGTTAGCCTGCTTGGAACACAGAGATCCCATGAGAATTCAGAGCGACATGCAGAGTTTGCATTGTCTTCTGTAAGATGAACTAGCACATATGCCCGTGCGTTGCAACGGGAAAAAATTGATATTTTGTGCAAGTATAATGTCTCACAACATCGGGTTTACTATGACTTTCTACAAAATGAACATAAAAAAAACGTTGCAATTTAGTCGTGTTCATATTTTCTTTGTCGGGCATAATCTCCCACTAATTTCATTTAAGTATAATCATATTTAATGGCATATAAGTATAATCCTTTCATTAATTACCATACGTCTTCATCCGTTTTAATCGGAAATTAGATCCTTCCTTTTTCTAATTTAGTAGCCACAACACATTTAAGTCTACAGATCTTTCTTTTAATTATCCTATCTTTTTACCTCAAATTTTTCATTGAAAATTTATTTATTAAGATCACAATCTTTCTTTTAGTTATTCCACCGGTTTATCCATAATCCTTTCTTTAATTAGCCACATCCGTTTAAATATTCCATTCAAGCTCACAATCCTTTCTTTATTAGCTCATTTGCTTAATTAGCTCGCCCTAAATATAATGACTGCCACTCGTATATTTAGAGCGAGTTGGGATTAGTAAATGTGAAAGGCACATAGGTCGTTGGTTGTTACATCGAAGAGCTAGACAGGAGGTCATGTGTTTAATTTCCACAATGTTGATTTATTTTGACCTAATTATTTTTCACGGTTTCTATAAAAGCCCATAAAAGGCTCATCAACGTACAAGTACCTGGCCCAAATCGCTTAATGTGTAAGCCAAACGAAAAGGACTAAGGAGGTCATGTGTTTAATTTCCACAATGTTGATTTATTTTGACTTAATTATTTTTCACGGTTTCTATAAAAGCCCATAAAAGGCCCATCAACGTACAAGTACCTGGCCTAAATCGCTTAATGTGTAAGCCAAACGAAAAGGACTAAACCAAACGAAAAATACCTATTTCCTTTAATAGTAGGTATAATAATATAGGTATAGATTATGCACCTGGTCCATTTTGCCAAGGTCCAAACCTTCAAAGTTCTTGAGTGTCAAATTTGGTGGCAAAACAAATCTGCAGCCATAAGCAGGTTGCTTAGTATAAATCCTGACAGATGTGCTTTATGTTGCTTCAGTGTATCATTGTCATGTTCACCACATTGCCTGTCGATATTATTTATTGCACCATCATATATGATTCTATGGAGAATATGAGGGGTGGGTACCTGTTCTTGATATCAGCTTCCCTGCGGCCAAGTCGCGGGGTGTCCACGGTGAGCGCTATCGCCTTGAATCCAGCCTTTTCCGCTCTCCTCACAAGCTGCTCGACCACCTTCCTGTCTTTGTACACCTACAAAGTTGAGATGAACTATGATCATTCACAAGCCCTGAGTAACAAAATGAGAGAGACAAGGATTCTGTAAGTAGCACTTGTTCAACGGACATAGTATTTACATAGAGTTGGAAGAAGCGGATCCCTGGTCCGGTTGAGGCAACCTCCTCAACACTCGAAGTAGCCCAGGACGACAATGTCTGAAAGAAAAATAGAGCATCTTTCTTTAGCACCTCATTCTACTTGGTCACATAGGATTGTTCCATATATCCGTAGATATTCTGCTGCAAGGGACTGAATGGACATACCATTATAGTGCCTGCTGCTGATGCTGCGCGGGCAGTCGCATACTCTCCTGAGAGTAGGATGGATATGCCAATGTTAGGTCAACAATGTGCAGCAGACAAAGCAGGAACCATTTCAAAATTCCTACAACCTTATATACTCCCAGAGTATATATATAAGCACAATCAAACGACATTTCAGAGAGACAATACCATCTGGGTGAGCCATCTTCTGCATGGCAGTGGGGGAAATCATGATAGGCATTGAGAGCTTGAATCCCAGGATAGTTGTTGTCATGTCGATTTTGGATACATCGATGAGAATGCGCGGGCGGAACCTACCCAAAACACAGGCAAACAATGATGGGTAAATCAGAAGTACTAAGGATTAGTAAGTCTAGCTCTGAAAGGATGTATCGAGAAATTACTTGAGCAACCTATTATGCTATATATCGAAAGCATCAGAATCGTCCTCTTTAATTATTGCATATAGTTTGTCGTCTCTGGTGAATTAGATGCGCTCTAAGGTAGTACATCAAACTCCGAAACCCCGAAATTCAGTTGGTACAGCGCATTTCTACAAACAAAACAGACACGGAGATACCGTGGGAAGAAAACGTCAAGGATGGGCTGGGCAGGCAGCTTACAGGATCCTGGCAAAGGCCTCTCTGTTCTCCTGGAGCGTCCACTCGTCCTCGGCGCCGGAGGCGTAGTAGTCGTAGATCATCTTGGGAAGCTTTTGCTTGGCGATGGCCTGGTACTCTGTGACATTGGTGATCTCCATTTTGCTGTGCAAATCACCACCTGCACCGCTCCATACAAACAACAAGAGGCGTAGTTAGTTACCTGAAGAGAAGAAAATTACTAGATGCAAGTGGGTGAAACACCTTGTGAAGATCACACGATCAAGACAAAGAAAGAATATGTGCTAATAACATAGTAACAGCGTCCAAGAACTGGAGCATCATAAACCTGGTAAATTACTCTGAAACTCCTTAGGTTTTTACCTTGTATGAGGAGGCTGTCCCCTCAAGGCTGAGGGGAAGGAAGGAAGGAACTAAGGATTGTGGTGGGGAAGGGGATGGATGCAATATAAGAGATGAGGCGGCGAGTCCTCAAGGTTTCTGTGCATGCGGACAAACAATACAACGGAGAATAATTGCGCAGTTGAGAGAGAGAGAGAGAGATGAGGGGGTTGTATGGATGAGATGAGCAATTGGAGGTGGGAAGAGAGGGCGGCTCTCCTACACTGCTTCCTCATCCACTTGCAACCCTCCCTTCCCTACAAATTCGCCACATTTATCCCCTCGCGGAAAATGCCCTCCGCTTTCGTCATTTCTTCTCTTCCTCTTCCCTACGGTTTCGGATCCGTTGCAGACGAGGCCACCGTGCCAGTTTATTCTCATTGATTGATCGATCAGGGGTGCTTCAGACATGTTTCCTGGGGCTACTTTCTTTCTTGGAGACAAGACAATAATGATATCTGCACCATCATCATCATCATCATCATCCTCAACAGTCGCCAGAATCTTCAAAGCCAGCTTCATCAGTTATTAATTCAAAATATAGATAGAGAATGCTGGTCATGCGACCAACAATTAAAGTTATTTTTGAGCCTAACCCATGTCAATGTTTCAACATTTTGGCTGCTTTGACTTCTTGCACATAATACATGTACCTCAGTCAGCTGGACAAAACTTTTTTCTTCAAGTCTGTACTTCTGTGACACACTTGCTGAGAAGATGAAATGTTTGCACTTCATTTACCATCTCCAATGACACCTTCAGTTGAAAATCAAACTAAGAAATAGGGAGAAAACACAATACATTTCGCTTCATTCTTTTCAAGATAACAGATACAGTATTATTTACCCCACATACATACAAACAACAGAAATACTTAAACAACACTGCATCCTCCAGCAAAGCAAACTGGACATCATTAGGCTCACGGCAGATTAAGCCATGAAAATCAGAAAGAGCAGCCCTTGTGTTCTTTCGCTAACTACAACAGATAATTTCCTCCGACTGGGCACTCTTCTTCGCTTTCTGATTGATTGCTCACATGCATGCTTTCATAATCTTTCCTTGGCTAACTGTATGTTTCTATAAGTTCAACGGCACATAAAAGGGCAGGTCGTCTTAGTTTCCCCAAACATTGTCCCATGAGTTGTTGGCAGCTTTTGGTGCCTCAAAAAGCTGCTGGCCAGGTCCCTCGAATGCAGGGGCCTCAGCGCCCTGAACGCGGCCTTTCTTTGACTTTGTTCGGACTCCGAGCAGGCGCAAGACAAATCTCGCAAGCTCACCGTAAAGCATCCCAGACCGATCAAAGAGCTGTGGCAATCAGATACAAACAATGCAAGTACAGCTGTAAGCATGCTATTCAAACCCAATACAAGCGAGGAAAACTTAAAATAACAGTACCTGCAACATAGCTGTAATGAATAAATAGAAGGCTTGTGTGTTTTGTTCAACAAGAAATGCAACTCGCCCAAAGAAACTGACGGTACCATGCATCTGTAGCAAATCCAGGATTAGTTATGAAGAATTGTATTCAAAAGATTAAGCATGTGTTAAACCGTCAAAGTAATGGGGGAACTATTATAATTCAGCTGTGTTTGATAGCAAAGTATTGAAAAACTACATCAATTTAACCTGTAGGTACAAAAACCACGGTTTTGACATAACAAAGTATTTTGGAGTATTCAGAAAACTGCAGACCTGTTTGGCAAGACCTTATATGCATCAACTAAAATTAACTAGCTAGCCGTTTGAAGCAGTTGCAAACGCTCGCGTTGTTAGCTAGCTAGACGTTGCAAGCTGATGAACGGACATTCACAGAGCACCGGCATGCACAAACTAGTACGACCACAGACTAATTGAACAACGCACAAGCTCGATGTCACACTTATCGAGGAGCAATCGAACTTACAACGTACTGACACGGAGCAAGAACCACGCTCTGCAACAAGGCTACACGGCTATGCCGGCAGTGCACCACGCGAGGTGGAGTTGCGGGTTGACGGGAACGGCTTGGTCATCCAGGCCAGGCCAGTCCATCATGCACAGTGAAAAAGGGGAACGAAATCCCCCCACACACCTTCGCTATATAAGATATAGTAACGGAGGGAACACGGATTGGGCGGACGTGACTTCAGGGAAAATAGGAGGAAGCAGCAGGAGGAACCTTTTTGATTTGTCCATGGCCGCTGACCAATACACCATCCACACACAACAGGGCGGCGACGGCTGCTTAGGATGGGCTCGTTCTTTTCGCATGCTCAGTTTTTTAAAAGGAGGTCCAGGGTTGTTGGTGTTTTATCCAGAGAAAATGCCATGGTTTGCGGAATACCGTTGTATTGATATTACAGTTTTTTGTGGTTGCCAAACAGCTCACAGTAATTAAAACCATGGTAATCTAAAAAACTGTAGTATTTTCATAATACATAGAAAATTCTGAGCTATCATACGGGGCCTTCATATGTTGTATGAATGACATGTAACTTCACACATGTCTATCTATAAACTTTGATATACTTGATGATAAGATCTCTACTCCAAAAAACAAATGTGAACAAGCATGGCCAAATGTTTAACATTACCATGATGACACACTAGAATGTACATTAACTAAAACCTACTTAACTACACATATCAAAATAGACACAACATAGAAACTCACAACAGCCTGAGCTTCAGAGTAAAATAAAGTGGACAACTGGATGAAGAAACAGTAAACAAAGATTGGGTTGCTTTAGGCAGAAAATATTTATAACCAAACATTTCGCATTAATGAACATTCAGAAAATTATGGCATGCTTCAATGTGCACTGGACGGCTGGACCAATTGAAACAGAACACAATCATGATCAGTGAAAAAGTAGGAGAAGTATTATACCATGCGTAGGAAGGACACCCAGAAACCCGGTGGTGCTGCGGGAGGGCCAAATGAATTTGGATCCGGATTGCCGTAAGGACCCATACCACCCATGCCGCCCATGCCACCCATGCCGCCCATACCACCCATGCCGCCCATACCACCCATACCATAACCACCATAAGAGCTTCCCATCCCACTGTTATACATGCCTCCCCCATACATCCCGGAACCTCCATAGAGGCCGCCACCGCCTCCATAGCTCGAGTACATGCTATTCCCATAGAGTCCGCCGCTACCATAAGTACTGCCATATCCACCAACCGAACTATACATATTGGATCCATATCCTGTTCCTGTATAAGAGGAAATGAACATTCTCAGGACAACCATTGTTGACAAGATATCCCCAAAAGGCAAACAAGCTTCAAATGGGCTCTAGGTCAGTACAGTAGATTACCTCCATAGGAATTTCCATAGCCTGTTTGCTGCCAAGGACGTTGGGGCATAGGCCTCGAGATGGGGTTATTTACATTGGCAGACATGTTCCCCTCTGTAGCAGCAATGGTTTCTCCAGGTTTAGCTGTACCAGAAGCTTCGACGACATCGCTAGTGCTGCCACCAGATGGTGGTTTGAAAGGCGACGGACCGGATGTTCCCTCAGCCCCAGCACGTTCCCACGGTTTTGGTGGTGCACCTGGAAATTTAACCGAGTGAAGATCAGAATTGATCTCAACCACTTAGAAATCAATATGTGAGGCATAACATCAGTGAGTTGAGTTGAGAGGCATTACAAAACCCCATAATCGGATAATGAAAAGCACGTGACTGGCAGTGAGCTAGCAGCAAGCTACAATACTGAAGAATGGCCAACACAACTGGAGTGCAGAAATAGAAGATCAATGAAAGGCTCCAACAGGAAATGCACAAGTAGGTGAGCTATCTTTCAGCCAAGAATCTCGTTTAGCCAAATAGCAATTTTTGTCGTATAAAAGGGAATGGGTTTAGCAACAAGAAAACAAGAGGTATATGATCAAATGCCCGATTTTATGCTGCCTCCCAGGAAGGACTAGATACTTTGTTACACCTCAAATGACCAGTGTACTTTGACAAATTAGTAAGCCTATACGGGCTCTCAGGCACGGACGTTAACCAATCGTAGAACATCAAGAGCCCCAGGGTATGCAAAACTCTGGTCGACGAGCTCTCTCGAGCTAACCAAACCCTCTTGAATCATGCCAATCAACATAGAACCAAGCTCAGAGCTACAAATTAGCAGGTACTGGCACATCAAGGCATCTCCGGGGACAGCTCGAACTACTAACCGGCCGAAAATTCTCAAGCCCACATCTTCGCACGAACCGCCACTGCCAATTCCTACCAAATCGATAAAATTGACGCCAGTTCCACCGTCCTTCGTCCACGTCAAGATAGCTGGAGCAACCCGGCAACGATTCATCGCGTTGCAAGCTCCAAGTTCGTACAGAAGCACCTCAAATCTCTTCTCCAACAGCGTGAAACATCCCTAAACAACCTCTCGCCCCAAAGTTCGCGGCCGAAATCTCAAGCGGAACTGAGCAAGAACACCCGAATCGGGCCGAATCCTCCGCTACGGGGTGGACTTGGCGTGGAATCGGAGAAATTAATCGAGGAATCGAGAGTTTGTTGGGGGATCTATCTAGGGTTGGAGGGGGAGGGGGAGGGGAAGGACGAACCTGCCATTGGCGTGCGAGGCCTACTCTGTTCTCTTCACCGGCAAAGGGGGTCGTGCGATGCAAGCCGGCCCACGGTCGCCCGCGGCCGATTTTATATATGTCCCCTCAATTTTTGCAGCGGATAAAAATAGGCAGGCAGTGGACTGGACCGAGTTGCTCCTTTCTCTATCCGAGCGCGTGCAGTCCTGCTTCTCGGCTGGTTCGTCTCGGTCACGTTGCCGAATCAATCAGAGCTATACCTGGCCATTCCTCGGGCCGGGCCGGGCCAACCAAAGCCCGATGCAAAAAATCCAGGCCTGAGCCCGACCTGGCCCGGCCATCGGGCTCGAGCCCGGCCCATCATACTAAAAGCCCGTCAGGCCACGGGCCAGGCCTCTTCCTTAAATGGCGAAATCGACGGGCTCGGGCCCGGCTCGGCCCGAGCTTCGGGCTCAAAACTTAGGCCCGAGCCCGACCCATGGATAAGGTCGGGCCGGGTCGGGTCGGGTCGACCGGGTCGGGCTGACCATGACCAGGTATAATCAGAGCATCTTTTCCCTTCAACCAAAAAAAGGGAAGCATCTCCCGTTGGACTGAAAACGTGAATCTTGGCGCACATTGACCCCTCACGTCAGCAGCGCGCTCGCCAAGGGGGAGGTGTATGGTGAACGAGACACAATGCAGCCCACTTATTTTCCACCCACTCGCCGATGCTACCTCCTCTTATCCATTCCCCACTGCATCTCGTCACGGTGATTCCCTCTCCGGGCGTTCTCGCCGGAGCACTGAACGCGTGGCTCCGTCGCCTTCACGTTGTTTCCTCTACAATCCGGCGGATCTAGGAGGTACGTTGTCGTTTCCACCGCAAATCCTCGGCATCTAGCTATCGCTCCACTAGGAGGAGGCCCGGGAGACAAGGCAGTGATGAGGAGGGCGGCAGTTGCGGCAGAGATGAGGGGGTTGCGGAGACGAGATAGGAATGGTGGTGGCGGAGATGAGGCGAGCGGCGCCACCGACGAGATAGAGGATGGCACGATGGTGTGTTGCGGGGGCGACGCCCGTGTAGTCGGCCGCCGAGGCACGGGAGGAGGTGCTACAACTGCCTTCATCGAGGTCCTCGATGAGCGGCCTGTCGTGGATCTAAGACTGACAGTAGAATGGGGGTAGGTATGAGGAGACAAGATCCTAGCTATGGCGAAGTTGTACACACGAGTTTTTACGAGTGCAAGCCCTTCGCGGAGGAAGTAACAACCCTACGTCTCGGTGCCCGAAGGCGGTCGACTGGATTATGTATGTGTGTGTATGTTTACAGAAGATGTGAACCCTTGTGCCAGTGGAGGGGGTGGCTTATATAGAGTGCGTCAGGACCCCGGCAAACCCACATTACAAGGAGTTTAAGGTACATTAAGAGGAGGGCGTTACTGGTAACGCTAGCAATTAAGTGATAAAGGCATATTAAGTCTATGAAGTAACTGTCCGACCGTTGCCTTGCAGAGTGACTTTAGGTCTTCTGTCTATCGAGTGACAATTGTTGCGGTTGGGTGACCTTTAATCTTCCGAGTGGAACGACTTGCAATTGAGTGGATGATGATATCCCTTGAATGCTTCTAGCTTTAAGATGATGTCCTAGAGGAGGGGTGTCTAGGACAGGCCTATGACCCTACCCTAGGTACATAGCTTCATCATTAGCCCTCGAATGGTTCGGGGCTTGAGTGGAGAAGGAGTTGAGAACACCTCCGATTCAATTTTCGCGCTTAGGGAGCGTCTTATTGGGACCAAACGAACAATCGTGATGACTTCAACTTCTTTTTCAGTCGCCTTGATCCATTCTTGGTTCTGCCGAGTGAACTTTACTGCGGTGCTTTGAGTACTGGTATGGAAAAAATCTTCCATCTAACAGGTTGCCCTGCTGTTCGCTAATATCGTGGGATTCGTATTTTAGGGAAGTGCGCGGGACGGAGGAGGCCGCAGTAATCAGACGGGATTAGGCGAGGCCGCCTCGATTACCGCACCACCTTTTTCGCCACGTACCTCGTGCGCGACTGTTGCGGGGTTTGATAGGATCGCCCGGACCCACAGGTCAGCCACTCGGAAGCGGCCTCATATAAGGGCCGGATTGGGGTTTTTTGCACTGTGCGTTCCCATTCTCATTCTTTCTCCTCCGCTCTATCCGCCGCATCTGCCTCTACTCCCGACGTCGCTGCTCCGTTCGAGTTTCGCCTGCGGCCATGGGAAAGGAGAAGATGGTGGCTCTGGAGCGCGCGAAGAAGGCAACGGCGAAGGCGAAGGGGGAGAGGTCCAGCCGGGGCGGATCTTCGTCGAGATCCGGCCTGCCGCGCGGCTGGATCCAGGACGACTGGATTCGGTTGACGATCAGCCAGGATGACATCGACGATCTGGTCGAGGGGGGCTGATTCCCCATGAATCGACGCGGCTCTCGGAAGGCAAGACTGAACCACATCCACGAGAGGGTGAGTGCGTTCTCCTCGCCACCCATGTTGACCGTGGATTTTCTTTGCCTCCCCATCCTTTTTTCCGGGGATTCCTGAACTTCTTTGGAGCACAACTCCACCACTTTACTCCCAACACCATCGTATATCTCACTGCCTATGTGTCCATGTGCGAGAACTTCTTAGGTTGTAGGTCACACTGGGGTCTTTTCAAGCACATTTTCACGTGTCGTTCTCAGTCGGTCAAGAAGGACAACCCGAGTGACGAGAGGACGCACGTAATTCAGATGTGTGGGGGTCTTGGGATTCAAATGAGAGGCGAGAGCATTTTCCCAGCCATGATCTTTCCTGAGTCGGTCCGAGGATGGCAGTCGACCTGGTTTTACTGCAAAGACCAGCCGACTCCAGGTCAGTCGGCCGGACTCCCTCCTTTCTCCATGGCTCGGGCCGAGAAACCCTCCGCCTTGAAAGTGATCCCAGAGGAGAAGGCGCAGGTGAAGGTGTTGGTCGAGCGGGTGGTCCAGCTCGTTCGGGATGGCGTGACCGATATGGATCTGTTGGAGCTCTTCCTTAAACGACGCATCCATCCGCTCCAAGCCTGTGACCATCTGATTTGGATTTACTCGGGTATTGAGGATTCCACTCGGATCCACCCGGAGGAGGTCGACGAGGACATGGTGGAGAAGTGGCTGAAAGGCATCACTGGCAACAAGGATAACCCTAGGGGGTCCAGGAGAGTCCCTCCATTCGACAACTCGTGCCAGCCAGACCAGGTCCGACTCTGGATTGCCGAATGTTTTCTTGATTCATCACGTAATCGCTTGTTGACAACCGACTGATTTTTGCCTCGCTTGTTATCTTTCAGGCCCTTACTGAGATGTACTCGATGCCCAACGGGGAGCAGGAGCAGGATCCGGAGGGGGAGGCGAGCGGGGCCGAGAGCGGAGAGTGGCACTCTGATGAAGAGGAGGACGAGGAGAGTGATGACCCGAGTGATGAAGAAGAGGTCGACTCACCCCCTCGTAGGAAAAAATGATCCAAGCACGCTCACGACCCGGCAAGCACCCACGACAAAAGCGACCGCACCGGCTGGTCAGTCATCGAAGCGCCCACGGACGTCTTCTCCAGTGCCGACTGAGAGGGCACAAAAGCAACCGAAAGCTGCACTGTCTCCAGCGTCGACTGATAAGGTGCCGAAACAACTGAAAGTTGCGTCGTCCAAACCGCTGAAGGCTTTTCCCAAGATCAAAGTGGTCATTCCTACTGTCTCTGGGTAATAATCAGACTTGATCCTCTGGTTGACTCGGTGCGATAGACGCGACCGACTGAATTTTGAAATTTGGAGGGCTGCTACCTCCGAGACTTCCACCCGCCAGTACGAAGATGAAGAAATGGAAGATGCAGTCACCTCCAACCGAGGTACAACTCTCGTAACCCTGTCTTCGGTTACTTGGTCGATTAAATTCTGACGACTGGTCTAGGGTCGACTGATCTCTTTGCAGCCCCTCCCAATGTCATTGAGCTTCCACATAATGACGAGGACGTGCCGCCTAGGCCCAGGAGGAACAAGAAGGCACCAACGGGCAAGACCTCTCAATCGAAACCGGCGGCAGAGCCAGTAGTTCAACATCTTGAAGATGTGAGCAGGGCTTCTGTTACTTTTGCAGATCCAGTGTCGAGTGTACGCCCCACATTGTCGACTGGGCCAGTGCCTGCTTCAACCATCCAACTTCGTACCTCAGAACTTCAAGTTGTTGTGTCTGGACCATCAGTCCCATTCTTCACCACTCATCACATTCCAGAAAGCCAGGCGAACGCCGTTGTGGAAGCCATTCGCCAGGCTGGCATAATGATGGAGCGGGTGAAGGTGGTGCACGAAAACAGTCAGGCTGCTTACGGCGCCAGCGCGGCCCTCTGAGCCAATGTCCAAGTAAGTTGGCTTCCGACTGAACTTGTTTTGTTAGGATATGCTACCTGAATACTTTTCTCCGTGTAATCTCTTGTCGTCCTGCACTTCGCATCTGCACACCCACTAGGTGTTTTGTCATCTTTGTAGTTTTCACTCTTCCACTCGGTCTGGGCGGACCATGTCGAGTGGGATCTGAACCAGTGGGGGCACGCTAAGTGCACCCACTGGGTGTAGTCCCCGAGACCGCAATCGACTGTTGGCAGTCGATTGGGGTCTGAGCACTTGTTTCTCTCTCTATTTTTTTTACTCGGTCTGGGCGGACCATGTCGAGTGGAATCTAAACCAGTGGGGGCACGCCAAGTGCACCCATTGGGTGTAGTCCCCGAGACTACTGTAGAATGTTTGA